TCAACTTCTTTAATTACGTAATCCTTCTTGACGTTATAGCTGTTCATCAATATCTTTGCTACGTATTTCACTCTCAGGTTTGCGATTTGATTTTCTTGAGTTTTACTTTCGGGTGCCAATCCAGTCTTCCATGATTTCATATCTCCCATGTATGTTTCCATGTGCCTCATTGTGAACACACCACAATCATCAAAGTTATTGTTTGTCTGCCAGTCCAATCTCAATCTTTCTTGACCAGTTTCATCCAAATCTTTACCRGCTGCATGTCCTACTGCATTCAAATGTCTTATCATCAACCTTTGCTGCATAAACAGGAAGAATTTCGTGGATCATCTTCTTCAAACTTAATTTAGAATTAAATTCTAAGGTAGTTTTTTGTTTCATACCAGGATATCCGTTATGAAATCATACATTTCCAAAAGGTGGTCATCATCGGACACTTCTATACGTCTGTTGTCTATGACCACAATTGATGGATTCTTCAAATTGAAGACCACAAGATAGTAATGACCCTTATCAAGCAATGGGAAGAATACCTATTGTTTGGTCACGTTGTCCAAATAGAATTTGTGTGAATTCATATAGAATATAATTAACTGAAAACTACATTAGTCAAAAAGATAGAGTTGTGAAATTAGATTCATATTACACACGATTATTTGAAAATAGATTCAATATAAACATAAACTATATGAACCTTATATTATTTCAATAGTGTATCAGATTCATTGATACGTTTGCCTAAGTGCATACTAAATTTGTTAGCCAAATACATCAACCACAATCAGAAAATGGAAAACATACCAGGTCTACGTTASGCATTTGTACTACTTCCCAATTGTTCTTAGCTGAAGATAACAAACTCTTTTTGAAAATTGCATATTGGGTGTTATGATTGATGCTCTTAGATCTTAGCTTAGTGTCCCCCTGTCATAATCAACGATGAATCTATGGATTATCTTGAATAAGCTGTTAGATAATGCAAAAAAATGCTATTTAAAATATTATACTTCTCACGTACCATAACTTCCGTGTTGAAAAAATAACGACGAACGGAATCCCTGTTCCGAAACCGTTCCTCGTAGTTAAGCAAAGTCGCCCAAGCGTCTATCACGCTTACGTAAATTGTAGATTTACGCCCCAAGCTTTCGATTGCATGCCGATGAAGCTTCGTATCGTTTGGTGTAGAAAACAACAACTCGCTGCATTTAAAACCATCGAAATGATAAATAAAATATGAAGACGKATGACATGATGTTAATAATTCCTCAAAGAAATTTTCATATACTTATAAACTTACTATTTTCCTCCAAGCCCAGCAATTGCCCATTCATGTATTTTTCTTTCTTCTGGCGTCACGTTCAGGTCAACTGATCTGATAACAAAAGGGGACCTGAGATGGTCACCCAACTTTGTTTCACGTCTTGTCGCTCGCTCCAYGTGATATTCCTTTGCATCTTCGGATACATTAAACCTTTCAACCGAATGACATCTTTCTATACATTCAGTCTCTTCATGCAACACCATTGACAAAGGCTCCGATTGCTTAATTGGACTAATACCCAAATCAAACTTGGGAGGACTAATGGCTGCATATGGTCTTTTCTTCTTTGACGTTGATATAGTATTTTCAACTACTTTATCAACTGCTTCAATGAAACCAGGGCTTAACCAAACCGTGGGCAGTTGGTTTTCATCG